ACTACTACTACTACTACTACTACTGCTGCTGCTGCTGCTGCTGCTGCTGCTGCTGCTGGTGGTGGTGGTGGTGGTGGTGGTGGTGGTGATGTGCATCTTTCATCTAGTTCTCAGTTGTCATTCTGAATCATGAAATGATATCTATAAATTATGGATGCCATCTTCAGTGCTATCACACCTTCTTATTCTTTTTTGGTTTATGACCAGCTTACATTAAAGTGTATGTCAGGCCCATGATTATATCCTATGTAGTTTCCCTCCTTTTCTTTTTCCTTCTTTTTTTAAAATTTGCAATTAAACATTTAATTCAAAAAATGTCCATGTTTCAACTTCCCGTGCCCGCAATGCAGTAACAGGGCATGTAGGTGGGAACAGAGGGCCTTTCCTGGAGTAAGTCTCTCTCCTTCTTCCCAAACAGTCGCATGTTGAAAGATGCACCACTGGAAGGATGCCAGAGTAGCCCCACAGAGCAGATAAAAAGAGAAAAACAAAATGCAGAGTAGAGAAGTAGACTGACATATATTTTATAAATCTTACTGGGTAGGAGATAAAAGTCCTCTGCAGGCATGCATAGCTAGAGACTGGAGCTAGGGAACTTATTCTACTTGAGATGTTTTTAGGATCCTATTCCCATCAGCTGCAACCAGTCTGCTGCTGATGATATTATGATGAAAGGCATAATAGTTGAGCAACATCTGGAAAGCCAGAGGTTCTCCAACCTATGTATAGACTACACAGGTATTAGGGCTGGCCCAAAACATTTTACTCTCTGAGGCAAAGAAGATGTTGTTCTTTCTCACTTCATGTTCCCCAAAATTGACTGGACTGGCAGTTGGTCCCACCTTTTCCATCTGGATTTAGTCCTGGATTTGGTCTTTTCCTGCTGTGGAACTCTCTTCCATGGGAAGCTAGCTTGGCCCTCAGCTCTTTCTTTCCACCAGCGAGCAAATGCCTTTCTCTTTATTCAAGGGTTAATCCACTGACTTGGTTACAGAAAACGTTTTTCATTTATTTATTTATAATAGGGATACAGGCTTTCTCTTTGTCCTTTAAAACTCTTCTTCACATCCGCTTTTCTCCCTCTTCTGTTCCTGTTTTTGTTTTTAAACTGTTTTTAAGAGTCTTTCAATCTGGGATAAGGGACGTGGTGGCGCTGTGGGCTAAACCACAGAAACCTGTGCTGCAGGGTCAGAAGACCAGCAGTCATAAGATTGAATCCACGCGATGGAGTGAGCTCCCGTCGCTTGTCCCAGCTCCCGCCAACCTAGCGGTTCAAAAGCATGCAAATGCGAGTAGATCAATAGGGACCACCTCGGTGGGAAGGTAACAGCGTTCCATGTCTCAGTCGCCCTGGCCATGTGACCATGGAAGATTGTCTTCGGACAAAACACTCGCTCTATGGCTTGGAAACGTGGATGAGCACTGTCCCCTAGAGTTGAACACGACTGGACAAAAATTGTCAAGGGGAACCTTTACCTTTACCTTCAATCTGGGATAGAATCCTTTTGCTAGTTTACCCTTTCATAAGGGGAACTGTGTAAGACGCGATGGGCAAATCCCAAGTTATCAATTAGGTTCTAGTTGCATTCCTGCACATTCCCAGGAAGACAACCCGCACTTTGTTTATGAGCGACAATTTGCTACCAAGCCTTACATCATTCCCTGGGTACAAGCAGCTATTGACAGTTGGATTCCAGCCATTTTTTTTCTTTCATCAAATTTTCAGTCTTTTCATTTATGTACAATATGTACCATTCCACCCTCCCCACCTTTGTAAGTCGCCTTGGGCCCCTGAATTGAGAGAAAAAAGGAGATTATAAAAGAAATGAATGAATAGATATTCTGCCAAGTTTGCAGAACCCATGGTGGCTTCTTGAGATTCCTTTCTCTTACCATTTTGTTCAGAGCCATATTTCTTGGAAATTCAGTATTGCAGTCGTGGGCAAAAATGATAGGTCTATCCTCTGTAAATATGTTGGTTCTTTTCTAAAGAGCTTGTGAGAAGTAATAAATGAACAGAATCTAATCTATATGAACACCAATGAGGAGAGGTTGCACAGCTCAATGCCTTGTCAGCAGAAGGACCCAAAGCCAAGCTTTAGTCTCTCAAAGTAGGGTTGGAGAAGACCCTTCCCTCCTCTTCCTCCCAGGCAGCAATTAAACCTGGGGATTTGAAACCTTAGCTCTCATGCCAGAACTGTCCCCCTAACTCCCCCCCCCGGGCTCCCAATTCAGACCTTCTAAGCTTCCCAAAATGGCTGCATTCCCCTTCCCCTGAACATCATGGTGTTAGCTTTTGTTTAATAGGCCTTTTCCCATTCTAAAAAAGTGGAATGCATTCTCTGAGGTCTAGCTATGAGCAGTAAGAATTATAACTGAACATATTTTAGAATATGCTCCTTAATTCTTTCTAAAACATGCTGATGTCTTGAGTCCCGCTCTTTGGCCCTTCGGTGGGGCAAGAATATCTCTGTGCTCAAATTCAGACCTCAGTCTGAAAAAAATCTTTCCTGTCTTTTCATTAGACAAAACTGAGTTGGGTGGGTCAGGGGTCAGACGTGGTCAAAAGCAGACAGTTGTGTTCTTCCTCTGTTTTCCATGTGATATTTTCTATTTGGTTTATATTCATTTTTCCATATCAATATCATGGGTGAATATTTTACCTAACAGAATACCAAGCAGAACTTTTCTTTCCCATCTCTCCTCCATGGATAACAGTTGATTCTTATAACCGTCTGCTTCCAGAAAACTAGACATGTTTCTTCTGACTTGCATATATATATGTATTTTAGAAGAAGTAGCTATTTTCTGGTAAGTTTTCCCTTTGTATTCTGATTTTCCTTTCCTCTTCAAAAACAGGGTAGCAAGATAACAATCTGTCACTAGGTGTCAGTAGTGGTAGTTTCTATTTGGAAATTTACGAGCCTTACTGTTGTATTTTGTCAGTGAGTGTCATTGTTTTCTATTTGTCTCCTTTCAGCCCCTAATGCTCTAAAATGCTTTATTATGATAAATACAGAACCACAGAGGGAGATCCCAAAGCCACTCATGTGCTCCTAAAGAGACTGCTTGCATAGTTAAAAACAACTCTCATTACCAAATTCCTGCTTGCAAACCCAAAATGAAAGTGTAATGGATATGCACGTTTTCTCTGAAATCTCTCAGTCCTGCTCAGATTCCTCTTATACTGTCCATTCCACAAATGCAGCTGAAGTGAGACTTGAAGATAAGAACTCGCAAAGATGCTTCAGCTACAGCAGCGGAAAGCACTGCCAGATAATCATGTCTGGGCAGACTAGGAAAAGGTGTAGTTCTTCCTAATGCTGTGAATGTGGACATAACTGCTGACAGCTGAGACTACCCTGTGTGGAGATCATTTTGACTGTAAAACAGCCCTTTATATATTCAGTTCCAGAGTGTAATTCAATAGGATGAAGTGTAAGAGTGGGATAAATGTCACATAGTATGACGTTGCAGGTGAATCTGGTCTGGAGGCTTATGCGGCAGAATGAGTCATTAAGAGTGGAGATGATAGGAAAGAAATCACATCAGATGAATAATGAGTCTCAGCATTCCTCTATGCAGAACAAAACTCCAAAGCTTCATTGCAAGTAGAAAGCTAACTCAACAGTTATAGCTTGTTTCCTATCTGCTAAATTTCTCCTTGAAAGCTTGTAAAAAAATGTATATGAGACACTGAAAATGCAGTTCTCACTGCAAGTCGGAAGAGGTACAGTTGATTCCCTTCTGCCACCCCAGCAGTTTACCACCTCATTCTTCTCCAGCTATACCAGCATACACAAATGGACATTTTGGTAGTCTCGTAGACACAGAAAGAAGGGAGAAATACTTAACGTGAGGCATAAGCTGAGCGCATGCATGCAGTTTATTGGAAATATAGAAGAAGGTCTAGAGTTTTTGATTAGAAAAGTGTAAGCAGTGATGTTACACCTATGCAGTTACAGAGAACACAGGACGATTTTGACTTAAATGGAATAAGTAATACTTCTATGTTTAAACAGAATAGTAATGCATGCATTGAGTGGCGGGTAAAGCGTATACATGTGATTAACTTATTCCAACTAGAGCTGAAACAGAGTTTCAGATAGACTATGAAGATTTTCAATGTATTCCTGAATTTCATTAACACTCTCTCTGTGGCTGAAAGTCAGTTGTGGGGTACATATGTAGCACAATGACAGATCCGCCCGTTCACTCTGCCACCCTCAAACTCTGGGAGAGTCCTTCTGAAACTAAAATGTGGATTTTTAAAATTGAGTTTCTAAGGATTTGGCCCTTGAAGCCACCTGCCTAATCTGTTGCAGGTCTCGTTGTAATAACACGAGGACTGATGCCAAAGGGAAATGCTCTAGCTGGCTGTGGACATGTGCCCAATGGAAAGCAGTTCAGTAGTAAAATATAATATGCAGGAATTTCATTCCTGGAGGCAAGAAAGAGAGAAAGAGTTTGGATAGAAATGTTATGAGTGATCCCATCTTAGGCATTGCTCCCCTTCCTGAAATGATTTACAAGGCACTGTTGAGGACAGAGGGTAGGAAGATAATATGGGTTCTAAGTTATAGTCTGTGCAAGAACATCTAGGGGTGAAAATCGGTGGGGAGAATGAGCAATCATGGAAGAAGATTGCTTGGCCAGACACATTGATTTCCCCAACGGGAGCTACCCTGCTACAGCAATCCAAAAGAAATAATTAACTGTGATGACTGGAGAGAGGGGAGTGATCTGGCCCTAAAAATTATATTTGCCATAGCAGTTTCTTGCGGGTGCCTGTCTGCTCTCAGCCAATCGGAGCCTGGCAGAATCCCATTTTTGGACTGCACACCCCAGAAACCCCCTAGTGAGCAGGGACTGGGGCCATGATGGATGCAATATTCTGGAGGTTGTAGTTCAAAACATGTAACTTTGCCAAGCTTGGCTGTGCATGTCAGGTTTCAGGCAGGTGTCTGCCAGTGGGGCTCCTTCCCCCAAACCTTTGGGCTTCAGTAGGTAATTTTTCTGCTAGAAGAGCTGACTGAGCCCATGTGCACGTTTCTAGCATCACCTCGGGATCCACTGTGCACAGCTGCTGAGATTCCTCCCCCAGATCCGGCGCCATAAGCCCCTCCAGCTCCAGAGCTGTGCACCCCGGCCCCATGGACCACGGTACTGAAACCCCCACTTCCATGGGAACCAGCGATGCCTCCTGCTGCTCCGACTGCGTGGTGGATCCCCCCGTGGTGGCCGCTGACGCAGCTCCCATCCACAGAAACGCCTGAGCTGTGCCGCCCTCCCCCGGCGCCCACCAGGTGCTTCGCAGTTATGTTGGAGGTGTAACCACCACCACTTCTGGAGCTAAAAGCTCCACTGTTTCCTGCACCCCCAGAGGCATGTCCGACGCTATAAGTAGCTCCTGCTGTCCGGCCCACTGAGCCAGCTGCAACTCTGGGGCCCATCGTGTGGATACATCCTGCGCTTCCGGAGGTGAAGCCTTCACCCATGCCGCCATATGCAGCACCATAGGCCACTCCGGGTCCAATGCCAGGGACACATTCGCCCACTGGGTAGCCGCCACTGACCATAGCTGGAAGGGAGACAAACAACAACAGAGATCTGTCATCTTCATGACCCATTTGCACATAACAGTGGAAACCAAAAGGGTTATCCAAAGGGAGAATAACAAATAGATGGGTGTACGTGGAATAGACTCACCAACACTGACCGCGTTCCCTGAGCATATCCTGTTAGGAAGACGAAAACAAAATGTATGCCTTATTCCATAACTGCAAAAGTTGGTATCTACTTTTTTTAAAAAAAAAACAAAGTAGTGCAAAATGTTTCCAGAGCCCGGAAATTTTACTGTTCTGACTATATCTTCCAGAATCCTCCCCAAACGATGACCAGAATATGGCATTTGTAGACCAAAAGGAATCTTTTGGAGTTATTATTCTTTCAGATACATTAAGATTATAAAGCCCAAAGTTCATCACCCAAATGAGTCAAATCTCTCCATCTGCAATTCCCCTAAATTTCACAAAAGTGCATTAAGAAGAACAGGATCTTTTGCATACTGTGTTCTCTTCAGGTTGAGCAGGGACAAGAATCTGCAAGCAGGGATCTACTCTGAAGTCCTGCCCCATGACCAGTGGAAACCCTTTCCTGGCTTCCAAAATGCCATTAAGCAGTGCCCATATGCTTCAAGAATTTCTCCATGGCCATGAAGACTAGAAACTTTGAGAACAGATTCTCAGGCTGCTATACGTTTTATACAGCAGCAATCTCTGTACTCCTGTGTGTTTCCCTTTTATCTTGCCTCTTCTTCACCTTAGATCAAATTGCCATGTAAATCACGGCCTTCCTTCCTGCTTTATCCCCACAACAATTTGGTGAGGTAGGGCAGTCAGAGAATGACTGATCGGTTAGTGGAAGATGGCCCAGTGTTGGTGGGGATTGGAATCTGGACCGGCCAAGTCCCAGTTTTGCTCTCTAACCACTGTACCTAAACTACCCTGTTTCCCCAAAAATAAGACCAAACCTGAAAATAAGACCTAACCTGAAAATAAGCCCTAGTATGATTTTTCAGGATGCTCGTAATATAAGCCTTACCCCAAAAATAAGCCCTACCTAAGTCAAAGCCTACCCTCCACTCTTGTGCAGCAACCAGAAGAAGATGACAGGACTTCATTAGAATAAATGTAGATTGCTGTACATTAAAAAAAATCCCCTGAAAATAAGCCCTAGTATGATTTTTCAGGATGCTCGTAATATAAGCCTTACCCCAAAAATAAGCCCTACCTAAGTCAAAGCCTACCCTCCACTCTTGTGCAGCAACCAGAAGAAGATGACAGGACTTCATTAGAATAAATGTAGATTGCTGTACATTAAAAAAAATCCCCTGAAAATAAGCCCTAGTATGATTTTTCAGGATGCTCGTAATATAAGCCTTACCCCAAAAATAAGCCCTACCTAAGTCAAAGCCTACCCTCCACTCTTGTGCAGCAACCAGAAGAAGATGACAGGACTTCATTAGAATAAATGTAGATTGCTGTACATTAAAAAAAATCCCCTGAAAATAAGCCCTAATGCGTTTTTTGGAGCAAAAATTAATATAAGACCCTGTCTTATTTTCGGGAAAACGTGGTAGCTTCTTTAAGAACCGATCATTTCATCCATACGCTGCTCTGCTATAACCTGTGGGGCTCCAATGCCAGCTTCCCATGTGTAGCATTGTCCACCATGTGCGTCTATTCAAACAGAGGTATTGATTTTTTTGCAAAACACCTCTCACCTGCTCTCCTCGCCTTCCAGCATCATTTTATAGGTGGCAATCTCAATGTCCAGAGCTATCTTGGTGTTGAGCAGGTCCTGGTAGTCACGGAGCACAGACGCCAGTTTGTCTTTGGCCTTCTGGTAGGCATTCTGCAGTTCAGCATGCTTGTTGCGGGCATCCTTCAGGGCAATGTCGCCACGATGCTCGGCATCGCAGATGGCCGACTGCAGACTTGCAACCTGGGGATGGCAGGAAAAGGCAAGAGAGCATGTCAGGAAGAAGAGTGCAAAAACAGAGGGAGTAAATGAATGATGGGGCTCCCTTCTGTGATTGAGAGTTGGGGACCCAGTGGGTTCTCCAAGATCAGAAGAAGGAGACTGAGGTTGGAACTGCAGGTACACTGAGATCAAGAATTAAGTTGTCTGCTTCTTGTGTGTGACAAATATTTGCAAACTGTTTCGTCTTCACTGAAAAGGGATGACTCAACAATTGATGTTGTGGTAAAAAAAAAGTATGGGTATTTGTTTTGACAGTCCCATAGCAATCCCCTCTCCAAGGAAAGTTGAAAAATGCACGCACCTGATACAGACCATTTTACAAATGAAAAGCAAGTCTTTTGTAGAGCTAATGGCTCTTACTTGCAAATTCAAGACCTGACTACTGTCATATACTTGTTATGACCACAGGACGTCTTGCACCAATATCTTGTTCCTCAGAAAACCCATATGTCTCCCAGCCACTGTGAGGTTTGCAGATAAGTAAGTGCAGAGGATAAAATTAAGATCATGGCCACTGGTCCCATCACCTCCTGGCAAATAGAAGGGGAAGATATGGAGGCAGTGACAGATTTTATTTTCTTGGACTCCATGATCAATGCAGATGGTGACAGCAGCCATGAAATTAAAAGACACCTGCTTCTTGGGAGGAAAGTGAAGACAAACCTAGACAGCATCTTAAAAAGCAGAAACATCACCTTGCTGACAAAGGTCCACATAGTCAAAGCTATGGTTTTTCTGGTAGTAATGTATGGAACTGAGAGCTGGACCATAAAGAAGGCTGACCGCCAAAGAATTGATGCTTTTGAATTGTGGTGCTGGAGGAGACTCTTGAGAATCCCCTGGACTGCAAAGAGAACAAACCTATCCATTTTAAAGGAAATCAACCCTGAGTGCTCACTGGAAGGATAGATCCTGAAGCTGAGGCTCCAATGCTTTGGCCATCTCATGAGAAGAGAAGAATCCTTGGAAAAGACCCTGATGTTAGGAAAGTGTGAAGACAAGAGGAGAAGGGGAGGACAGAGGACGAGACGGTTGGACAGTGTCATTGAAGCAACCAACATGAATTTGACCCAAAGCCGGGAGGCAGTGGAAGACAGGAGGGCCTGGCATGCTCTGGTCCATGGGGTCACGAAGAGTCGGACATGACTAAACAACAACAAAAGTACAGAGAAAGGGGGAAGCCTGCGTGGAATGGCAGGTATTGCCATAGTGTCTGCTACACAGAATATCTAATCACATCACCAAAGAATCAGAACAGCTTGTGGAGAAAATGGTCAGTCCCTATGAATCTTTTGTTACCTCAGCACAAGCATGAAAGCAGCAGAATCTTTTGATCAGTAACAATACAAATCATTTGGCCTTTGGTTGACAAGAACTTTTAAAAGACAATTTAAGCTATTTCTGTGCCACACACACACTCTCCATTCTTGTGCTGGTTCTGGAGGATAATACTAGATCTTCATCTGTTCTATGATTACCAGTTTTGCCACTGGAAACAAAAGAGATTTTCAGGGCAACTGATAAAACAAGAAAAGGACATGCACTGCCTTACCTGCTTCTTTACGTTGTCAAGATCAGTATGCAGCCGCTGGACCACCCTGTTGAGCTCTGCAATCTCATGCTGGTTGTTTTTAAGTTCTTCGTTGAATTTGGTGCGGTTGTCTTGAATCTCAGCAATCTGGTCAATGGAGAAATGATTTGAGATTTGATGAAATTACTTTTAATGGGTGGGTCATGTTCAGCTTTTAATTTTAATAACGTGTTTTGAATTCCTTTAAATTAGAAATCAGTTCTGTATTTTATCTTATATATTAGTTTTGTAAACCGACACAAGCACCACTTGTAGTAGGAAGACAGGATATGAAATAAATGAAGATTCCACTTGTAATGGGCAGTCTAGGGGCACAAGCTTGCTGCAAGAGAGCCCTACTGCTGGATCATATGCACTCCAGTCTAGTGAAGAAGGGTCCTTCCTTTCAGACTAAGTGCCAGCGCTTGAGTCAAACATGGAACGAGCAGGAGTGTGGAACTGATGGGCTTGCATCGTTCACCATCCTCAAAACAGTGGAAGCTTGTGATTCCAGGGCCATGGGGTGGTGATCTTTTTCTGGTTTTAGCTCAGACTTGTTCAGATGCCATCCAAAGTTGCTGATTGCTGGCCCCAAAAGAGCTTCAGCACCTTGGACAAGTCTTTTGAAAGTTCAGATGTGAATGAATGGATTCAGTCCCATGGCCTTAGAAACATCAGTCTCTGTTATAGCAGGCACTATCATAAAGGGACCTGCCAGAGGCAATATGCCCAGGTATCCCAGTTGCTATGGGAGGTATGAGATGGAGGATGCATTTGCCCTCCTAGCAGGCTCCCCACAAACAACTGATTGGCCCCTGGGTGAACAGAATATTTGTCCAATGAGATCTTTGGTCAGATCCAGATGGGGTTTCCTCATGTTCTGGGCTATATTTCTGACTGCACTCCAAATCTCAAATGGCTCCAGATGGAGCCACGTTCTCCCAACAGCTGCAATGCTTTGCATTTTGAATGATGTAGAAATGTAGTAGCACTGCTAACAGATGAGGTGAATAAATAGCATCTATGTGCTTGTCCTATGCATACATCAACCAGGGTTATCTGGCTATCAGATAAATACTGTACTCACCTTGTTATGGTAAAAGGCTTCAGCTTCTTGTTTGCTGGCATGAGCAATGTTCTGGTACCAAGTCTCCACATTCTGAAGGATCAGGTCCATATCCAGGTCTCGTGTGTTGTCCATTTTCAGAACCACTGAAGTGTCTACGATTTGGCTCTCCAGCTGAGATAACTCCTGGAGAATGTGACATGGCATCATAAAAAGGCTACACTTCACTTACCTTCTCCCTCTTAACGGGAAGCTGATCAGTTATTTTGGCAAGTTAGAGCCATGCAAAATCAGTCTAGTGAAATATGAGCTATTTACTACAAAACTCAAATTTCTCTTCCTAACGCTTCTTAAGAAAAATGTGTCTGACAGACTGGATGATGATACGTGCTGTGTTAAGAGGGTGGCCAAATAAAATGCCTCTGGTTGCCCCTCAAAAGCTGAGATGCTCCTCTCTCACCCACAATATCTCTGCTGGTGCTCTCTCGCTTTCTGTCCCCACCATCTATCAGCGCCGTCTTTCTCTCCCTTACCAGTGTATATCCATAGACATTCCCATCTCCTCTTTCTCCACCCGCAGTGCTCTCTCTCCCCTCCCTCTGTTTCTCTTTTCTTTCTCCACCTCTCAGTATTTTCTCTCCCCCCTCCTCTGCTTACCTTCCCTCTCTTCCACCCCAACACCTTGTCTCTTCTCCTTACCAGCCATTGGCACCTTTCCCCTTCTCCCTCCCATTTCTTCACCTCCCCTTTCAGTTCTTTGAACCTTTTGAAAGAGTTAGTGTGTGGTTCAGAGGCATCTGTGGTTGTGTTCAATATCTCCACTTCCCTGAAGTGCTTCTGGACTCACATGGGCCCACCCATAAACTCTCAAGAGATATGAAGATGGGGAACAAAACTGCACCTTCCTCCACAACACACCTGACTTCTAAAAGTTTGAAGAAAGAAAGAGGGAGAGATGAAGGAGAGGAGACGAGAGGAGACGAGAGATGTGTTGCTGCCTGGCCAGAAAGAGGGGAAGGGGGAGGTACTGGGGGAGAAAATGAACAGAGAGGGAGCATGCCAGCAAAGGAGCCCTTTTTCTGGAAGTCTGTTCTGAGAAAGATGAGTTAAAACTGCATTTGAATCCCCAGTTGGGCTGTGGGGCCACTGACTTGTGCCCAGAGGTTCAGCCTTAATGGCATCTCTAATTACAATAATAACCAACATTCCTAAACTCCTTCTGTCTTGCTTGTACGAAATAACTTCAAACACATATAAGAACACAGAAGAATAGACCAGAAGCCTATTGATGTTCGTGTAAGGTTTGCTTAACTTGCCATAGTTATTAGCGGCTAATTGACTAGGTGCACAAGTACAGCTTGGTCACGCCCCTGGTTATGTGCCTAATTGCCCAACCATGATGTACCTTTTAATTAGTGGCAATTAGGCAACCAGACAAGACAGGGAGGCTGCTGTCCTGGGCTGATTAGGAGTTTCTTATGACAGTTAACTTGTTGCTGTGATTTATACGGAATGTTTAATTATCCCAAGCAGTTTTGGAACCAGACGTCCATATTATAGTTCAAATCACTAGAATTGTCACTGGTTTCACAGGTCACCCACACTCCTCTGTTCTTAGGACCATCTTCTTTTTTCCTTTAAAAAAATTGGCAAGTGATATAGCACTGAATTGAAATAACCTGTGAAATGGCAGCACTTATCTAATTTAAAAAATTATAAGAATGTTTTGGGGGGAACAAGAAACACTCACTGAAAGGGGGAAGTTCCTCTTGCACTGGTACTATATTGCACCCCTCTGAACCCATGGAAGGGGGAAAATCTGTCCCCTGGCTTCCGAGATCACTGCTTTCCTGCTGAAGTATGTGCTGGCTGGCTGGCTCGAAATTGTATTTGTGTGTAAATGTGCATGTGTGTGCCTTCAGAAATGAGGCTACAGCTTTACCAGCCATCACCAGATGTGCCTCTCAAGGCTCAAAACATCGTGTATCCCTACTCTGTAAATAACTTCTATATGGTCTGAGGATACATCTGTCACATAGCTCTTATGAGATGGGAATCTTACCTCTGCAAAGACTGCTCTCAGGACTTCAAGCTGTTGTGCCATCACATCTACTTTAGATTCCAGTTCTTCTTTGGTGAGGAACACACAGTCAACGTCCTGGAAAGAGAAAGAAAGCCAGCACACAAGAAATTGTGTTTTTGATAAAAGTAAGGAGATTTCCATATTTAGAAACTAATCCATTCCTTCTGTCTATAACAAGTCTTTATTCGCATTATTTAACAGAACAGAAATTACAATAGCAGGTACTGTACATGTGTTTTTATATTTCTCATCCCTCCAATGTTATTTATTTATTTTATTATATATTATTTTATTTATACCCCGCCTATCTGGTCATTGGACCACTCTAGGCAGCTTCTAGGCAAATTAGCTCACAGGTATCTCCACCACAGTACTGATATTTGTGCAGAAATATGTTCCATGGAGTTCAATAAAGTTTACTTCCCAATAAATCTGAGAAGGAGTTTTGATAGCTAGGTTCAATCACCAATCCAAATAGATGTCGCTGTCAAGGAATCAGAAGACGAGAGAGACTTGGAAAGGCAGTGATCAAAGCAGTAGGACAGATCCGCAGGTGTAAGGATGTGTGCATGGAGATGAAGCCCAGATCATCCATGTTATTGTACCAGTGGTCAGCAAAGAAAGCTATGAAAAGGGCTGTTTCATTCAAAATGTAGAGCTGGAGAAGAGCATTACAAATACTACAGACTGCCAGAAAGATAAATATGTGGATGCTAGATCAAATCAAGTCTGAATTTTCTCGAGAAATGAATTGAGGCGGTTGTACATTTGAGCACATTGTGAGAAGGCAGGACTCACGGGAAAAGATGATAATAATACTAGAAAAGTTGAAAGTAGCAGGAAAAGCAGACCTAATGTGAGATGAATTGATTCAATAAAGGAAACCGGGGACTTTAATTTGCAAGACATGAAACGGTCTGTGAATGACAGGGCATTTTGGAGACCACCAATTCATCTGGCCACCAAAAGCCATGAGGCTTGACAGCATGGAATAACAAGTATTCATAAGTTACAGCCTTCCCCTCCCCCCCCCCAGGTCTTTTAAATCAGACAGGGAAGTTGAAATCATTATTATACATGGCACAAAGTTTGGTACTGGCAGCATTTGCATGTGTATTCCGATACGTATCTTGTTCAGGACACAACTTACCTTTTTGAGCACCACAAACTCATTCTCCGCTGTCGTGCGTCTATTTACTTCATCTTCATATCTGTTAAAAAAAGGAGGGAAGTTTGTTCTTACTATCAGAAAAAGGGTTTTGAAGCAAAATATTGCAAATATGGCTGAAAAATGTTATTTGGAGGAGAAGGTAATAAGGGAGCAACAACAGCCCTTTTGTAAAACATTGCAACAATGGTTAAAATTGCCTTATTAACACCATGTGTAACACTTACTTGTCCTACAATGTTTTTATGGGAATTGTTTCAAGTAGTAATTTTTCAATTTGTTAAGTGTATTTTTATACAATAATGTTCGAGTAACTGAAAAGTAACATGTTGCTCTTAAAATAATGATTTACTGTGGCACTTTGTAGAATCTAATGAATCATGCCTAGTATATTACTTTTAAAAAATAAATTTTCAGTCTTAGGTCAGACAAAATTCTGCAGAAAGGAGCTCTCATTGGAATACTACAATCAATCAAAGTAGAATATAATAAGGCCAATGTCCACTGCTGCCTCAGTTAGAACATAGACCCATTGATAGAAATCCTATTACCATAAATTTACAGCATGTAAACTGGCTGATGACATGGAGATTACCATAATCTTAGAACTGCAGAACTGGAAGGGACCCTATGGATCATCATCAACTGAATTAAATTTCGAGTTTCCTATTCCTTCCTTTCATGTTTCGAGTCTCCCTAAAGATCCCTTTTGCCCTCGGGAAGCCTTTGGGAGCCTTGGGATGGGGGCAAGGAAACCTTTCATATGGAAAAATCGCCATTGGATTGCCAGCAGTGGTCTTGATCCAACAGCAAGCCTGTTGATGGTGATGTTCTGATGTTCTCTTCCAAGTCTCTGAAAGACTTCCCGAAGGCAAAAGGGATCCTTAGGAAGCTTTGAAACATGAAAAGAATGAGATTGAATTTAATTAAATTAAAGATTTCATCTCTGGATGATGACATTTACACAACATATATTTACACCCTTAGGATTTCAGCCATTGAATCCATGTTACGTCAGCACTTTTGTGAATCCCATTGACTTACTTGGGAGTCCACTGAGTCAAATCTGCCTACTCTCACTGGCACTGCAATAGGAGAGTGTCATTTGGCTTTAAATATAAATGACCATGCATTTGCTTTTGTGAGTGTTGTAGTGTTTCAAAAATGTGTATGACCATATCCAACAGGGGATCAAAGCAAGCATTTTGTACAATATAGAAAGGATGCTTTTCAGTGTTCTAGTTTGCTAAAATTACCCATACAACTGGCATACAAGTATTATTCTTCCACCACATTGGAATGATTTATGTCCAATGTCATCACTGGATAACCATGTTTGATTGATAGCACCCACAGTGCCTAGAACCTTATATCCATCCAATTGAGCAAGACAAAAAAGGATGCCATCATTTAATTTTTGGTATTTCACAGCTTATTTATATTTATACTGTTGTTTTGGTTTTTTTGGGTTTTTTTGCTTTTCTTCTGTAGTTGCAAGTGCCATAATATTATTTTTAAATTGTTTGACTTTATGAATTAAACCATGTCATAATAAAATTACATCTTTCAGTATATTGCCAAAAGCCTTGCAGGGGTTACCTTTGAAAATTGATCTATATGCATTCCTGAATTTAAAAAAAAATACAGTTAAAGAATTGGGAGAATGAATTGGCATGGAAACAGCAGCAGCAGAAGAAGAGAAGGTGAAGCAAAGCTTGTGAACTACAAAAACGTGCCTCCGCCAAGATGTAATGTGGCGCCAAAGCTGCATTTTCAGTCCCCTATCTGAACTGGGCAAGCGTTTCTCACATAGCTAGTGCACACCATAGGCAACAATACCTCTGAAACACCATCTCCACCACACTTAAAAAATCTCTCTCCCTGACCTAGGTCCATTACGGTGAAATAATGGTCTGATCTTGTGAAAACGGGACTTCAGCTTCTTGTACAAGAGAAGTCAGAATTGAGACAGACCCTTGACATTGAAAGAGGGCATCCATTGCTTTGTCCTGCCAGGGTGAGATGGGGGCAAGGAAGGAAGACTGCCAGTCTTTCGCCTACCAGACAGACAGCTTTTACTCACTTTGACCTGTATTCCTCCACCAGCTCCTGCATGTTCTTCTGCTCATGCTCTAGTTTCCCTCGCTCACTCAAGAGACATTCCAGCTGTTTCTTCAGCGTGGCAATGAAATTCTCATAGTAGCTCTCCATGTTCTTCCGTGAAGGTTGGACACACTGGTTCAGCAGCTCCCACTTGGTCGCCAGCACTTTGTTCTGCTGCTCTAGGGAGCGAACCTGAAAGGAACATTCCGATATCCAGTCATGCTTTCCTTTTTCTGGCATGTCTGCCAACCAAGATGAATGTCTTGCTGTACATTAAGCCCAGAGCGCCCAGATATAAAAGAAGGACAGGATTCCTCTCTCTGTTAACAGTTGGGTAGAACACATGAGTGCAACAGGGTGCATCCAGGAACTACACAACTGTGAAAAACCCAGAAGTTTTGTCCCCTTTTGAATTGGCCTGTCCATATTATGGAAACTCAGTTCAAATCTATAAATCCTTACTGCTGCTTTCCCATGACGTTTTCTCTTTCTCTTTCCTCAACAATATGAAATGAAAAATATCAGCCTTTTAAAAATGCTTTTAAAATTTAATTTAAAAAAGACACAAACACATAAAGGTAAAGCTTCCCCTTGACATTTAGTCCAGTCGTGTCCGACTCTAGGGCACGGTGATCATCCCTGTTTCCAAGCCATAGAGCCAGCGTTTGTCCAAAGACAGTTTCCGTGGATTTGTGGCCACCATGACTAGACATGGAACACATACACACACACAAATTTGACCATGTTCTAAAATCTTGAATATTCCAAAAAAAGTCCTCTCAATTCTCAAGTCATTCATATTTTAGGACTGTTTCACACGTCCTGGACTAGCAAAGCTGGGCTGGTCACTGAATTTTCCCTCAGGAGGGAAATAAGGGCCTGTTGCTGCTCTCTGGAACGGAAGTAGCCCTTGGGAGAACCACATGTCCCATGGTGCCCTGGGAGTTGCCTTGACAGGCTGGTTCTCAACGGTATGTCTCAGAGATGGAGAATGAAGCTCAAAAGGAAAACTCCCCCACATCTCCTCTTTCTGCCACTGCTTCTGCTCAATTGGTATTCTGAGCAGGGAGGCTGGGACTTAGTTATCTTATTATGTACACTGTCCAGGGCAGTATTCTTCCCTTATCAGGAGGTATAGATATTAAATAAATAAATACATAAATGATTAGATAAAAATAGGGAAGGGGTGATGGATTGAGTGGATTTGCAGGGAAGGGTTTGGGCTACAGCAATAGCTGATGGCTAGCAGAGGCCCTGTTCAGAGCCCTTGGTTTGGCTCAGGAAAATAAACCCCAGTTCCTACTTCTGTTTTTTTAAATCAAATTATCCCTCAGTTCTCAGCCATCTCTGCTTTGGAATATGGTGTACAATACGTTTTAGAGAATGAGCAGGGAAACTGAAGGCTGTCAACCATCTGACTGTATCACTTCGGAGACTGCATCTGGTGACAGTTATGGATCCCAGATGTTATGTCAGAACTGACTTACAGCAACCCTAATAGGACTTCTAAGGTATGTGAGGTATTTAAAGTGTGGTTTTACCAGTTCCGCAGGGACGTGGTGGTGCTGTGGGCTAAACCGCAGAAGCCTGTACTGCAGGGTCAGAAGACCAAGCAGTTGTAAGATCGAATCCACGCAACGGAGTGAGCTCCCGTCGCTTGTCCCAGCTCCCGCCAACCTAGCGGTTCGAAAGCATGAAAATGCAAGTAGATAAATAGGGACCACTTCGGTGGAAATCAAATTATCCCTCAGTTCTCAGCCATCTCTGCTTTGGAATATGGTGTACAATGCGTTTTAGAGAATGAGCAGGGAAACTGAAGGCTGTCAACCGTCTGACTGTATCACTTCAGAGACTGCATCTGGTGACAGTTATGGATCCCAGTTGTTATGTCAGAACTGACTTACAGCAACCCTAATAGGACTTTTAAGGTATGTGAGGTATTTAAAGGGTGGTTTTACCAGTTCCACTCTCCCAGTAAGTTTTCATTGCTGAGCGGGGATTCGAACCCATTCCTCCTGAGTCCTAATCTGTCACTTTATCCACTATACCGCACTGAGGCTACCCCTGAATCTCTAGCCAGATAGGCAGTTTCCTGTGCATAGTAAATCAGACAGGAGACTACATTTTTCAAAAAAATTACCTTTATTATGCTAATTTGCTACAAGCAAGAAACTGCACGTAGGTACATTTTAGAAAAACAAGCCCCTTTCACTATGGCTTAACATTCCAAAGTGTTACAGTCTACCTTTCTGTCACCTCAACTGATTACTTCATTTGGCATTATGAGGCTTTTCTCACAATCCTTTTGTACAGGTTTGTCGGCTCATCTCAGATGAGATCACACTGTCTCTACACTGTGGAGATCTTATACAGTAATGATACCTTAGTGGAGTTCAGTCATAACCCACAAATTGTTCATAAATATCCTACAACCACCTACAAAAAACTTTTTTTTGGGGGGGGCAACCAAGATGGGTATCCCTGACTTCCACTCCCTACTGGAGATGACCGAGTCAATGATAGGTCAAAGGAGAAGGATTAGAAAGTGCCACCTTGATGCTATTTCAGTTGGGAAGACTCTCCCTGGGAGGGAGAAGGTCTAGAAAGGGGCTAGAAAGGTCCAAAAGATGCAAATGATCCAGAAAAGTTGAGAAGGACCACAAAATGATATAGAGTCATCAAGGCATTCAAATGTTTCTTGACCAGTTGACTTCCTTGACTAAAACTAGGGGGGGATACGCCTGTACACATACATAATTTCCAAATGCCAGTATGGTCCTCATTTTAGAGTGAAGGGGGAAACCTCTTACAAGCAAGGAACAGGTTGTTGAACTCTGTAGTCACATGATATTTGTGGTTTAGGTTTTGACCACTTTAGGGAAGGAACTTTTTCCCCTCACATAAAATAATCATGCAGCGTTCAGCACCACAAAATTTGTCACTGACTGTATGTAGCCTGTTAGAATCCCGAGACAGGAGAAAAACCGCAGAATAGAAAGGAAACTTCTTTTCTTTCTAATTTTGTTTCCAGCAGAGTTGGACGGATTCTCAAGCTTCTAGTTCCAGAGACTTTTCCGTCCTGCTAATCTTCTCTGTACTACTACCAATGGAGATCCACTATGTATGTTGATACAAATAATAATTTCTTCAGACAAGTACTACAAGTCATACAGTTTTATTGTCTCTCTGTAGCTCAAGGCAGTTAAAATAATTATTTTTTTAAAAACCCAGCTGCCTTTATTGTGTCATTTTGACAGTAAGACAGGTTCTTCAGCTCATCAGATAAGAGTCTATAATTATACATATTGGTACACAAATATGTATAATTATAATAATTATTATGTGCTTTGTGTTAGAACGTTATGTTTGCTATTAAGATTATAGACACACAGAGAGAGAGAGAGATGTAGATATATGCAGAATATTATATTTCAATAATATATACAGTGGTGCCCCGCAAAGCGACGATAATCTGTTCCGAAAAAAATGGCGCTATACGGATTCTTCGCTATGCGGGACAAAAAAGCCCATAGGAACGCATTAAAACACGTTTAATGTGCTCCTATGGGCAAAAAACTCACCGTTCTGCGAAAATCCTCCATGCGGCTGCCATTTTCGCTGCCCGGTAAGCGAGGAAAGGGCGTGAAAACACTGCGGGTGGCCATTTTCTTTACCCGGCGGCCATTTTGGAACCACTAATCAGCTGTTTAAAAAACATTGTTATGCGATACTCGGTAAGCGAAACGCTTACCGATCATCGCAAAGCGATGTTTTCCCATCTAAAACATCACAATGCGATCGCTTTTGCAATAGCAAAAAACACATTGCTATGCGGATTCGTCGTTAAACGAAGCGCTCGTTATGCAGGACATCACTGTATTGAAATATATATATTGTATTGAAATATATCTATTTATCTATAGTATAGACAGACAGACAGACAGATATGTGCTACTATACTATACTATACTATAAATAGAGATCTAAAAATAGTTGCTAAGAACACAGAATGGACATTCTACACTAATAGTGTTAACACATACCAAAAAGTCAAAAGAATGAGAAAAGAGCAAAGGGTGGAAACCCCACCTAAAGGTGGTTGAAACTTCGTTGGACACGTATGTCTCTTCTTAGTTCTAAAACTATGGGTAGAAAAATGAAAACCAGTTGGTTGACAATGGGTTTTTGTTTGTTTGCTTTTACCTTATCAATGAAGCAAGCAAATTGGTTGTTCAAGGTCTTCATCTCTTCCTTCTCGTGGGTCCGTGCTTTTTGCTCCTCTGGGTCCACTCCAACCGAAAGTGGCTTTAACAGGCGCTCATCGATGCTGACTCCTCGGATCCCTTCACCTCTGCATGGCAAACCACCACCCATGCTCACCATCCTGGCACCCATGCCAGCAAAGCCTCCCGCACACTCAGGACCACCATAGCTGAGACCACCTTGACCTCCAATAATCTGTCCCCCTACAACTTGTCCCCCAATGCCTTGACCTGATATACCTATTACTTGACCCCCAACGCCAATGCCTTGGCCTGGAATACACGGACCCCCCATTCCTTGGCCTGGAATACACGGACCCCCTATTCCTTGGCCTGGAATACATGGACCCCCCATTCCTTGGCCTGGAATACACGGACCCCCTATTCCTAATCCTTGGCCTCCAATACCCTGACCTGGAATACAGTGACCGGGTATACCTATACCTTGACCTCCAATGCCAATCCCTTGACCTGGGATACAGTGACTGGGTATACCTATTCCTTGACCTCCAATACCTGGACCCCCTATACACTGGCCACCAATACCAACACCATGCCCGGCTAGTCCTATCCCCTGACCACTAAAGCCTAACCCTTGACCACCAATGCCACCATAGACAGGTCCTCCATAGCCCTGGCCGCAAGCAATTCTTCGGCTTGGGCCACCAAAGTGATTCAGGCTAACGCTGGAAAAGCCACCAGCCCCATACGGTTTTGGCACTGGCTGGCACACAGGAGCACAGCTGCCTCGGGAGGCACCCAGGCCACCAATGACCGAAGCAGAAGAGAAGCCCCTTGGTCTACCAATGTATCGAGGTCCAGCACATATGTTCATGTTAGCTGTCTGAAAAAGGGAAGCAAAGCTGGATTAAGGGAGCAAGAGAGAGAAAGAAGCGTGAAGGAAGAGAGGCAAGAGAATTCCTTTGGATGGGAACGCAGGTGTTCCTCTCTTATATATGGCTCAAGAGCTGCATGGAGTGCAAAAAAATAAAATGAACCAGCTTGGGTTTGGTTTGCCTAGCAGCTAGAAAGGGTTTCTCCAGTGCAGCCTATGCTCCAGAGCAAACACTTAGAATTCACAAAATGGGATGAAATTAAAAAACTTGCTTGGCTTGCAAGCTTCGCTCTCAGAGGCCTTTGTGTTTTTGGTTTAATTAATCTGCTTCTTCAGTGTGTAATTATCATTCAGCAAAATATTTCAAGTGGCTTGTTTACTGGTGAGTTTCACTTGAAGCTTCATTCCTCTTTGGTTCTTAATTACGTGAGGGAATATGCCATTATTATTAATGATGAGCCATTGGTTATTCGGGATTTATTTATTTCTATGCCATCTGAATGCAGCCATGGAGACAGAAAAGAATGTGTTCAGGATTTCCACTAAAATGCCATTCCTATCAAAACACAAAGCAAAGGTGAAAAGAAATCCTCATTTATTTATTTATTTATTTTTAATGTCAGGGAAAGTCCAGGGGCCAATACAATAATGCTAGCAGCGTTTCTTGAAGAAGCTCCATTGAGATGAGATTCTGCCTAAAGCAAATTCTGAAGTGGATTTTGAAGGTTGCCCTTAATTAAAAGGTCTGGGCCAGTAGAAGATGGATAAGATTTCTCCGGGATGTTTTATACCTGTTTACCTGCATATATCCAAGGAAACAACACATATGCTGGCAGCAAGGAAAATATGAGTTCTCGTCAGGGGAAGCCTTTGTCATCCCACTTCTCTCTAGCCTACTGGACATAATTGAGCATTTCTGAATGCGTCTTTCAAGCATACATCACAATTTGTGAGAAATTGCGAGCGCAGATCAAGGGGAGCTGATTGAACTGAGCATGACGTGCAAAGTCAAGAAAATATTCTCCAAAAGGTTAAGCATTTTACTGTGTTGCTGCAAAAACAGCAAACAGCTGTAGAGCATATCAAAGACTAACAATTTTTTTAAGTGGCACAAGCTTTGTAGACTATTGTCCATTTAATTGGATTCATTAATTGTGTGACTCACTGAAGTTAAACACACACACACACACTCACACACATAACTGGAGATAGGCTTGTAGACATTGGGGCAGCTGCTGAATGTGACAATGGCATCATTTGACTGATCATTTACCCAAACATCTTGGCACCAGATAAACAAATTAACCAATGTACTATGATCAGAACCCATTGTTGTTATTTGCTGTCAAGTTGTTTCCAGCTTATGGCAACCATAACAGGATATATGTGAAGATATCAAAACTCCACAAGAGCCATATAGTATATGTGGGCCAATGCAAAGAAGAGGGTTTGGAGCTCTACACTGGAGAAACCAAACAGCCACTAAACAGGAGAATGGCCCAGCACAGAAGGGGCAATGTCTCAGGACCACAATCAGCAGTGTTCTTTCATTTGGAAGACAAAGGACACTCATTTGGTAACCAAGATGTCAAGACTCATTTTGGACCGAGAAGATAGGTGGTTTGAGAGAGGGGTCAGGGAGGCCAAACACGTGCATATAGAAAATCCCTCACTCAGCAAGAGTGGAGACCTTAGAGACAATTTGTCTCCTATTTATCATGCTGTCCTTTTATCCCTCCCCAGAAAGATCAGGACCACACACACCAGAAAGTCCACTGTTAACAACCATTAACGACCCATGACAATGGGTGGAGGACGACTGCAGAAGTGGGATTATCCCTCACCCCCAGTCCTTTGTCCTTCTAAGGAGCCTATTCAGACCAGGGGGAAGTGAAACCAAGGTGGAGGATATACCAGGGGGTCTCCTACCAACTCTCCTCAGACTGAAGAAACTACTTGGATGAGTAGTGAAACATTTAAACCTAACAAGAAAGAAGTCCAGTTGCCATGGCTCAACTTCCAGATAAACCTAACATATTTTTGCTGAGGGACATTAGATGTTCCAGCTGTGGTTTACCCATTGCCAGCCCCGAACAGGTTTTCAGGACTCTATCCTTTACCCATTGCCAGCCCCGAACAGGTTTTTAGGACTCTGTCCACTAGATCAGTGGTTCTCAAACTTTTGGTCCCCAGATGTTCTTGGACTGCAACTCCCAAAAATCCCGGCCAGCACAGCAAGTGGTGAAGGCTTATGGGAACTGCAGTCAAAGAACATCTGAGGATCCTAGTTTGAGAACCACTGGACTAGACTATAATAATGATGTGCCATCAAAGATGATGCCTGGTTTCAGTGACGCTTGTTCACACACCCTTCCGAAGGCTTCTTAGTTTGGGTAAATCAGCTCCTTTTGCACTATCTGAAATCTGTTCCTTCCTCACCCTCTAATTGCTCAGAAGTGACACATCTGTGCAATTTATTTGTTTTTCCACAGGACTTTGATCTGTGAATGTTATGCTGAACCACAACTAAGCTCAACGCCACTTTGGAAGAGTAACTGTCTTGGAACCATTCCCAGGCATCGGCATTTTAGTCAACAAGCAAGTCAAAAGAGCCAGGCCAGCTGTGCATTCATTCCATTCATTCCAGCTAAAGAGCAGCAGCAGATACAGAAGACTCCTCTAGGCATGGAGCAAGCAAACCCATTACAGACCATGCTGGCATTCAAACCAGTCTTCTCAGTGGTGTGGAGGTAAGTTTGGAAGCGCAGGTGCCTGTTGTGAGCATCGCTATACTGATCTCCTTCCTCAGAACAGTCCAAAAATAAAGGGACGTGGATGGATTCCAAATAACAAATGAGTTTCTGTTTCTGCCAGCAGGAGGTCTTTTGTAAACAAAGTTGCTCTTGATGGTCCATTCAAGACCAAACCATCCCCAAATACTTTACCTATGACAAATGAGGTAGTTTGCACCAATATTCTCTTCCTGAGAAAAATCATTTTCTTCTCCCATCTAATTTGGCAGAGAAGTTCAGAAGTAACAAGGGAGTAATCCGAGAAAGGTGGTAGACCATGTCATAGTCTTTGCTCCTCAGAAAGTCCCATCACTCTCACTGTGGAGGCCCTGACTCTACTACACCATGGCTCCTTATATGATTTCTGGTCAGACCCTGAATTCCATGACAAGGACTCCAGGGGCTGTCAGAATGGCTGGCCATGTGTTTTTTGCCCCTCGCACATACTAAACGACCATTCTAAAGTCTATCCTAGTGTCAACATGATTTTGTTTTGTATTGTCGCACAGTGAGTTCCCTTCTTGTTTGTTTGGAAACACACAATTAAGACTATGTTTCCCAAGCTGAGAACAAATGAATGTGGGTAATTAGTACAGGAAATAATGTACTCCATTTCCAAAGAAATCTTGTGGTTGGAATTTCAATATCCCTCGGATGGTCGGCACTCCTGACCAGGGCTCCTTCTCTGTAGATGTACAAAATCATGGCTTTTAAACAATGTAGTCTGTATAAGATGATAGAGGTATTTATATGGGCAGTAGGGAGACCCTTTCAGAATTGGAATTGTTCAATAAAACCAAACTAATATTTATTTATCTAAAATGTTTATATGCTGTCTTTCTCCTAAAAGATCCAAGGCAGATCACAGAATTAAAAGAAACAATGTTAAAAGATAAATAATACATTAAAAGTTCAAGGAAAACAACAGAATAAAACAATCCCTTTTAAAAATCCCCTTGGTCAACCAGTCATTTAAAGGAAATGTTTGCCCAAAGAGAAAGGTCTACACCTGCTTGTGGAAGGACAGCAAAGATGGAGACAGTTTAGCTTCTGGTGGGAGGGAGTTCCAGAGTCCAGGAGCAGTGAAAAGAAGGCCCTCTCCTTTGTCTCCACCAAACACACCTGTGAAGCTGGTGGGACCAAGAGAAGGGCTTCTCCTGGTAATCTTAATATCTGAGTAGATCTCTTCTATGATACAATGCCCTTCCTCCCCTTTAGCAGAGCTTATCATTTTAATCATTTTCCTGCCAGTGCTTAGTACATACCCTTAAGTACCAGGGATGGGCAAGTGCTGCTCCAAGCTTTCCCTGCCATGGCTAGGATGCCAAGAACTGTTGGGAGTCACCAATAACATTTGATGGGTTGTGCTCAGCTCACTCCTGCTTTAGTCCCACTGATTGAGGAATGGCCCTTCCTTCCCTTTCCCAATCATGAGATCACATCTTCCAGTTTCCAGAAGGTTAATAACCAGTGCTTATCTGGATTTAAATATAAGTGTGGACAGAAATTCAAGTAAGATCTATGCTTATGCAGCATCAGATGGCACTAGCCAGTACAAACAGGGAAGAAAAAGTGCTCCATCTGGAGAACCTCAGTTTGGCCTATCCTCCTTTAAAAAAGAATGAAAGCCAAGCAAACAAAACAAAAATCTACCACCTGTCCCCAATTCCTTCTGGGAGGACACATTTTCAATTTAAAAAAAAAAATCTAAAAGGTACTGTGCATCAGCAGTGCTCTAGTATGATTTTTTTTTTAAAAAAATAACCTTTCTTTTTCCCCATCCAGTTTCAATTTCCCAATATTGTTATGCTTAACCACATAATGATATTGGGTAACTGAAAACAGGAGGCTCAACTTTGGTTCAATTCCAGCAATCACACATGTTGGAAACAAACCAAAACACAGCGCTCTTTCTCACAACTAAAAAAAGTAGCCCCTGACAGGGAGCCAGAAAGGTGTGGGTTGGGGATGGGCTGCTTCATGCTGGCACTTGTGTCATCTGATTGCTGGCCAAAGGAGCGAACCGGCCCGTACCCACAGCAAACCAAATATCTGGACAAATGCCTATGTAACTAACCTTAAAACTACCTAACTACTTCTATCTGGAAAATGTGGTGACATTTGCAAGAAGTGCAAAAATAAAAAATAAAAAAATGGACCTAGTTGGGTTATTTGTACAAATCCAGGACAAGGAGCTACTGTTAATCC